TAACACAGTCTGCGTCAGCTCTCTCCTGCCGCGCCACAGTTGATATAATGTAAACCACCAGAGGGGGCCAATGATGAGGACCGGGCCACAACATGCGACTTCAACTTCATCACACTTGTAAGCTCTCAAAATTGTTTTACATGTTTTACATCTAGAAAGCAGATTATTTCTATCTCACCTGTCAGATCTCCCTAACTTCTCTTTATTTTCTATCTCCCTGCTATGGCCCCTCTTCCTCCTCCTCATCCACAGCCCTCGACCCCTCCTCTCGGTGGTCCTGTCCTCTCCCGGGGTTCAGACTAATGACTAGTGACAGTCCACTGAGGGGAGCGAGCTGTTTGCAGTCAGCAGTGCGTTTGTTGGTAATTATTTTCCAGAGTGTCACATTAGTGTCAGCCTCCTGGCGGTGAGAGAGGACGGGGGCCCCGGCTGGCTGGATGGGTGATGCGGGGAGGGGTGGGAAGGGGACAGGGTGTGATGTTTGGTGGTGTTGTGTGGTGTTTTTGTGTAGCGGTGGTGGTGGGTTGAGGACACAGGCTGTCACTGCACTTTACTCTCCCCCCCCCCCGTGGCTGCACAAGACTAAAGATTAAGGTGAACGGGAGAAAACAAATTGGTTCCCACTTCTCACTCATGTTTCGGTCCTAGAAATATTTGTCTTAGAGTGTGAGTATATAAATATATGGCAATATATGTTCCCCTCTGACAGGTGTATAGTGTGTAGTCTGTGGAGGCAGCATCCATAAACCTGCATGTTGTGACTGCACATAAGAAGTGGTAGAAAAGCAAAAAAACGCTTAACAAACAATCTTGACAATTTTAGGCACCAAAATGTTACAATTAACTTTAAAGGATACAAAATATATTGTGAAAGATTCAAATTCGGCAAACAATTTCAATTTGCAGCTGAAAATTGTCCCTAACAAACGTTGGGGACAACGTGGAGGCATTCTTTGACGTGAAGAATGCCTCCACGATGGAGAATGCCTCCATCACTTTGTGCTCATCGCTGATGCTGTGTTAATGCTCGGAAGGTAACGATTAGCCTAGCAGCAGACATGATGTAAATAATGAACAATGATACATTTTAATCCTTTTATAATGATACTCTCCTCCATAGGAGATACAGACAATACATATTGTTAAATGTTCAAATTATCTGACCCTTCTATCTCATTGCATCACCTGTAAGCCCACAATGCCTTTTGGAATTCCCTTTTTAAAGCAAACAAAAAGGGACATTTTAAAGTATCACATCCAGCGGGTGTTTAAGGCATGTCTTGCCTTTTTTAAGTTTACATTTATGACCAGCCTTTAAGGGCCTATGTTTTTGGTATGAACGAATAGCTTAGTGCTACGGACGGGAAGACTAACACACTGGTGGTTGTAGTTTCTTTGTGGGATTTGTTTACAGCGACAAACATGTATCCTTTAAGTCACAATATAATTGAGCTGAATGTTCTGAGAAGTCGCAAAGCGTGCATCGCTCATTCCCCGTCCCTGTAGAATTTTTTTTGCCTCTTTTATGACGCCTTAACTCCACAGTGTTGATAGAACTGTATTCAGTTCAGGGAATTTAACTTCAGCAGTACAGAGACAAAGTTGAGCACATGCAAACAGTATCGCCCCTCCAACACGGGTGTGCTGTGAATGTGTAAACATACAGGGTACTAGTGTGTGTGTGTGTGTGTGTGTGTGTGTGTGTGTGGTGAGGGGCAGTCACCAGCCCCCTTGGGAGGAAGCGATCAATGATTGAGACCATAATGCACCTCTCTGTATTCCTCCTCACATTCACGCTCACTGGCTGCTTTGGGGAGCTGTCTCTCTCTCTCTCTCGCACACACACACACACACACACACACACACACACACACACACACACACACACACACACACACACACACACACACACACACACACACACACACACTTCCACTTTCCCCTCGTACACACACACACACACGCACACATTGTCACATGTCCGACAGCTCATCTCTCACGCGCTCCCTTCCACTCCATCTTGCGGCTGCCTGGTCGATGGCCTCTCTCCCCGTCTCACTTCCACCGCTCAGTCATTGGCAGACTGCTGTGCTCTGGCGCTGTCTCTCCCTATGTTAATGTAGTAGCTAACCTCTCTCTCTCCATAGCACTGCTACCAGACAGTCTCTATGTTGATATACTGAGGAGAGTGCAGAACTCCGCCGCACAACTACCACCCAACCGACTGCAGACAACTGAACACTCTTCATGTGCACCGCTGCGAGGCGTTTCCCCCGCTGTCCTGTGCGGTTGTTGTTTTTTTGAGTCTGCCACATCTCTCTTCCAGCATTGAAAAAACTCATCATTTTTTCTTCTTTTTTTTTTTCGTTTTGGTTGTCTTCTGCTTATGATTAGCTGAAATGGTCTGATTTTTGAAAGCAATCTGCTGTAATTGGAGATTGCGAGTCTCACAGCAAAAGGTAATTATCACTAATTGGTCTGTGGAAATGATTAGAACAGTAACTTAGTTTACTCCACGCCCCGAATACAAGAACTGCGAATGAGAGTGCAAAAATAAAGACATGATTATTTACTGCACTCCAATTAAGCATTGTGAAAGTTAAAAGACTCCGCTGATGACCCCTGGCATCTTAATAAAAGAAGTAGAGAACTCTCATCACGTTGATTTAATTTGCCTTTAACTCATCTGCTACTTGTTGGAAATTACAATTGGATAAGACGACTGAACTGTAAAATTAATATGATTTTAAATAAAAATAAAAAAAGTCAAAACTGAAATCTGTGAGCCAGGAAACAGGAATGCGACGCGCCGATAACTACAAAGACACATAAAAAAAACACCTCAAAGCATGCACGCCATACATTAAGATGTAACGCTCTGTGCGTGTCCATGCGCGCGTGTGTGTGTGTGTGTGTGTGTGTGTGTGTGTGTACGGCAGCCAAGTGACTCACCTCCTGCCAGAAAATGAAGACATACAATTAACATCGTATCCCATCATCCTCAGCTGAGCGGGCAGGCCTGTAATTGGCTGGCTGACCAGCCTGCGTGGCTCCGGGTGGCAATTTATTCTGGGAGCCATGCAGTTTACCCTGGGCGGCTAACGGCCCCTGTGCCATAACCTGGCTGAGGCAGCGGGGACATCATTAACACTTCACTGGGCCTGCAGGACACACACCCATCATCGTCCACCATACACCACCCACAGCTACGAGCACAACGGGGCAAATTGGAGGGAAAGGGTGGAAATAATAATCTGAATGTCAATGAGCCACTTGTGGTGAGTGTGTTTACCGATCAACTTGCGAATGAGGGTATTTTTGGGGCATTTTACGAATCCCGGTCTCCTAGAAATCCTGCGATCATTAATTTGTGGGGAATCAAAGGCTATCCTTGCCCTGAGCAGACTTTATTTTGGAATTCGGGCCCCCACGTTGTCTCAGTCTCGTCCAACCTTGGACTGTGAGTTTGTCTGTTTGACAGTGTGCGTGGCATGCGGTTGTCTAACCCCAAAACAACGCGTGAGGCTCCCTAAGCGCGATAATGACCTTGGCTTGTCAGAGGGAAGACATGTGTTACACGCTCCCACATTGGTCCGAGGGCAACGCTGTTACAGAGACAGTCTGGACTCCGCTTTATGTGTCCATAACCCAGGTCTGTCTCCGCTGTCTGGCCCTCCGCCTGCCCGCCAGCCGGCTGTCTTTAGGTGTGAGAAGGTTCCTCTCAGTGCTCACTGTATGGATGTGAGGTGCAGATGTGGGGTCCAGGCTGTAGTTCCCCTCAACGTATAGACAATAGAGTGAATATATATATATTTTTTAAAATACCATCCCTTTTTGTGCGCTAAACCCCACTGATTTCCAGCTACAAGGCTCTCCTTGGCTGTGATATTCCCAATTCACTCATTTCCTATCTCAGGACTCTTTCTTGCTCCCTGATTGCGCACACACATACACACAAATGCACGCACACAGGCTCACAGCCAAATGGCTGTTCATTAAAGACAGGGACCTGAGGGGAAGCAATCGTCTGAGAGACGGAAATTGCGTGTCACATTAGATTAGCAGTGTAAAGCCTCTGGATTGGCTCCGGGGAATAAGGAATTATTTCAATTACATTATTTCAAAAAGTCTTTAAGCAATACCAATACCGATAAAAACAAATTAAGAGTGATTTGGGCTGATTTGTGGCGCTCTGAGCTGTGCTTTTCGACGTTGTGCTGGAAATCAGATATGAATAATGCAGATACGCTGTGTCTAATGTGTTGGAGTTGAAAGCAGATTATCTGTGACAAATAATACCATTGGTTTGCATTGTGTCTCATCAAAAGAGAATGTTCCCGGGTGTCAATCACACATGCTGGGGACTGTGCATGCAGGCTCAGTGAGGATAACTCCATCCCCTGCCATTCGCAGTGAGACAGCAGTGACACCAGCACACACACACACACACACACACACACACACACACACACACACACACACACACACACACACACACACACACAGACAGACACTGGAAGTGAGGACTTGGGGAGGGTGGGGGGGGTTAACTTGAATACCTGATGCACTGCACTTAAGCTTTTTCTCGTGGTTAAATGTCTTTATATGGTACATTTTATCCTTACTATACGTTTGCATTTTTCTGGATGCGTTCCTCTAAATTTCAAAGTGATTACAGGTGCAATTCCCATGAAAGTTGTGTGACAATGATCAATATAAGAAATCATGTATGTTTATATGAAATCTATTTCTATATTTCCCGGTAAAACAAGAGAAGCAGATCTCTCCTGATCTATTCACCCACAACACATTACGAATCACATTTTTCTCGAAAACATCTACTCCAGCTACAAACAGGTGCACATAGTTAGTACTTTTCGTCTCCCCGCAAGGGGGTGTGGGGGGGCGCCCAAAAAAATCGAAGTTCCATGTTTTGTAATTGTTCGTGGGGGGGGGGGGGGGGCAACAGAGAGACAAAAAAAAGAGGGCAGGGAAAGAGGAAAAGTGGGGGGATTGTCACACGGAGCGCATGAAGGAGAGACCCACAGAGACCGACCGACCCGCCGCCGGTCCGCTCACTGACGCTCTGCTGCAGCCCGGAGACGCAGCGACGAACGAACGCCCTCTAAAGTCCACGCATCTCGGCGGCAACTGTTCCACACGCGCAACATCTGGAGCAGGACTGGAGGAGCAGAAAACTGCCCGCAGCTGCACGCTTTTTTCTTTCTTTTTCTTCTTCTTCTCTTCTCACTTTCCTGCGCGACCGGGAGAGAAAGTGCAGCGTCCTCAACTCACGATTTAGAAGTTGAAAAGAAGGAGAGAGTTTGCCGAAACACGTCACGCTCTCCAAGCGGTAAGTGGCGCCTGATGCTGCGCGACAACGCGCGTGATTACAGTTACGTTTGGTTTAATTGGTTTAATTGGATGTTTGATCGCCGTGTGTTCTGTGGGCGGTGAAGCGTTGTGGTAGTTTTTATTTTCTTTTTCTAAGGTGAGGCAACTTAAACTGGAAAACTGTTCTCGATTGTTCGAGACTTTGATACTATTTGAATGCTTGGGTCAAATCTTAGATCATGTGAAAAGTCACTACTTTCTATTTTTAAAATGTTTCAATTTATTCATGTCCTTTGAGTGCATTTATTTGTGTATTGAAAAGTGCACACTTTAATTAAATGTTTATTTATTTATTAAAAAAGGGAGATTGAAGTTAGCCTTCATATCTGGGGAAAACCAGTGTGCTGTGAGTGGTAACTCTTATTTCGTCCTTTTCCAATAACTAATTCTAAATTCTAGTGTAAGAAATAGTGAACGAGTAGATTTTCCTCTTTTATATTATTGTTCAACCTGTTTGGTAATTATTAATTAATTTCAGGAAAGCTGAAATTTATTACACTGTTCACCATTTGACACAAGTGGGAAATTAAATGTATTTTACATTTTAAGACAGTAATGTTGAGAAACTTAAATTCCAAGAAGCTCATTCAACTTAAAATGTCTAATTGCATTGTATTGGACAGAGTTGGCAGAACAGGCAATTTAAAGATTTACTAAGTGTATTGTGAATTTATTTATATTTCTTTTCTTTTTCTCCCAAATGTAATAGCTTATACACTATGAAATGTTGCTTTCAGGCTTTGGTTACATGTGTTTTACAGTCAATTTATTCCGTCCTAATTGTTTGCAGGCATCCAAGACTTTTCTGTTGAAATTAGTCCAAAGCTGTAGTTGTAAAAATGCCTCATGATTTGCAGCTGGGTGTATTTTTTGGCTGTGGACATTATTAAAAAAAAATCCTTATGAACTTGTAAAAGTAAGTTATTCCGAAGAGAGGTCAAATTAATTATTCATCAATCAATGTCACAAAAAAAGAAGAAAAAATGTAAAAGTGTGTGAAAGAAAACAATTTCTAATTTATTTTTGTGTTCCTGTTTGTGTGGTAGCTCATCTTTTTACACTCAGCCTCAGCACTCTCCTCTGACTATGAGTTTCCTCTCCCTCTCCTCAGGACCACCAAGAGGGAGGTAAATGGACCTCCACCGCCCCTTCAAGATGGACACCTCCTCTTACCTGCCAGCTCCACTGGCCTCCCCTGCCCTGATGGTGCTTGCCTCCACTGCCGAGGCCGGCCGAGACGCCTCCGTCCCCTGCCAGGCCACCAGGCCCTTCGGTGTCCCCACCTCCATGGAGAAAGACCTGCACCTCCCCTTCCCCTCGGCCTCTTACACCTTCACCTCCATGTACCAGCGCCAGGGCCCCATGTCAGGCACCTTTCCCTCCCGAGACTTCCCAGCCTCTCTGCTCCACCTGCACCCACAGTTCACCCCGCCAAACCTCGACTGCTCCACCTTGAGCATGCTCAACCACAGCGGGGTGGGCGCCTTCCGACCTTTCTCCTGCCCGCAAGAGGAGAGGGAGTCGGGGGTTTACCACTCAGCCTTCACCCCCGCCAAAAGGCTGAAAAGCTGCTTCCCGGAGGTGGAGGGGAAGGAGTTTGACTTCGGCTCCCCGGGCGGCTCCCTCAAGGAGGACGCGGGGAGGAAGCTGTTCTCCATGTCCGGCCTGCTGTCGGACGGAGAGGCATCGTCGAGCCCGGAGCAGCGCAAAGAGCACGGTGAGTACACGCTGTAAGTCACAGACACACACACACACACACACAACAGTGGAGGCGCGCTTCACCGCGTGCACGGCCTAAAGCTTGCACACAAGTCACTGATCTCACGCCTTTAAAGAATGCAGGGAAATATACCTGAGTTTAATTGGCACATCAAAGACCTTGCTCACCCTGACAAGACGTGGCAGGTGAGATTTACATACCCTCTGCAGCTGCCTCGCCTAATGGTGACAAATTGAAAGGAGCCTTTGTGAGTAAAGACGTATCTCAAAATATTTTCCCCTGCGCGCTCCGGTCTTTATCGTAGTTTACAGCCAACTGGCTGTGACTGACTTTGACACAACTAAATTGAATAGTGTCACTTATTCAGCTTAGTGATCATTAGCCACATATGACCATTAGGGCCATTGGAAGTCAGACTTTTTTTCTTGGCCGCCCTGAGGAACACAAATACATCGAAGCGCGTGGAGGGTTGACGCGGGAGGAGTGTGCGTCGGGAACGAATGACACCCTGTCAGAGATAACGAGGTGGCAGAGATAGAGAGGAAGGGATGGAGGAGGATGGAGGCAAAGAGAGAGAGACGCGGCGAGGCGCCTCAGCCTCAGCTTCCCAGCGACAACCCTCAGCTCAACATGGCCGCCCACACCAGCCGTCTGATTTGTTGACAAATGAGTGGGAGAGGTGTCAGTCAGCGGGCGCCGCGGAGGGAGAGCCGCTCCTCATTACTCCCGGGGATAATTGCCCGACGACGCGGGGGCACAACACTCGCCTCCGGAGGGGGAGGGGAGGGGGGGAGAGAGGGACACGGAGTCAGGGAGGCAATGCTAGGCATGATGGGAAATCAAACCCCCGTCAGTGGCGGTCGCCAAGAGAAGCGGCTGACAGATGAAAGGGAGCAGAGGAAGACAGAGAGAGGAGAGAGAGCACCAGGCAGATCAGAGGGGAACACCATTGAAAATAATGACAATGAGAGGAGGGGGGCAGAGATGGAGAGGGGCGAAGGCAGAAGAGGGGGTGGGAGGGGGGGGGCAACGCTGATACCCGCTTTCATACATATCACCTAAAGGAAACTTTCATCCCACACATAAAGGGCGGGAGCAGGGACGAGTTGTCTTAAGAAAAGTTTGGATTTTGTGCCTGTGTGTGTGTGTGTGTGTGTCTTTGTTGAAACTTGCCGATTTTGTCGCTGGTTGGGCGCTGAGTGACAGGGCCAGGGAGGCGGAGTGGCAGGAAGGAATCTCAATATGGAATTTTAATAAGGACAGGGAGGGGAAAGAGATGCCAGCCAGCACGCACGCTGGCATGAGAGGTGTGTCTGTCTGACAATGTTTGCTCTGCGCACTCGTGCATGCGTGCTCCCCTCACCTCCTGATTTTGGGAATCTCATTTGGGGAATGTTGACAAGGACAAAAGACGGGGAGGAATAGAACACGGCAGGAGCGTCTCTCCCTAAAAGTTTCGGGCAGGAATAAAAAATAAAAAAAAAATCGGAAGCTGCTTTTCCAGCTTTATCCAATTAGATTGGAGCTCAGGCAAACTAAGAGCTTATGCAGTGAGCTCCCTGCACTTTCCAAGTGTGACATACACTTGTCCCTCTGACTGGGTAACAGACAGTCACTTCAGGACCAGAAGTCTTAACTGCTAAGCTTGAAATCTTCTGGGGTCGTGAGAGTGTTTCTTCTTCTGCTGCAGCGATGGCAAAATGCTCACTGACAAACTAAACCGCATGACCCTACTTTAATACTTTTTAAGTTTCCATCATAAAGGCAATTACCTTCTGTGTGTGGTTACGTGCTCTCCCCGTGTCTGTGTGGAGTCTCCATGTCGGGTTTCAGGAATATGACTGACGCTGCCCGTTAGCAAGGCACTGTCCTCAAGACTGCAGTCCGTTTAACTTGTATTTCGGACGCTTCGCGCGGGGGGGGGGATGCTTAAGTCGACTGTCCTATGACACGGCACTCGTGCGGTGCTGTGGTTCCTCTCACTTCTCAGCACAACGTGTATGTAAAGCGCATCTCCTCTCACCCATGACACTGAATTCACGTGTCCTTCTGTCCATCCGGTGTCTGTCTTCTGTCGATTTTCCCTCCCGGACATGCCCCTGTTTTATCAGGGAATATCTGAGATGCACGGTGCGCTCTGACAGCTGTTCAAACAGCCATGCTCGCTTACAAAGGGCAGATGTCTTCACTGGAGCGAATCATGCTTATTTTCCTCAGGGAGATGCTTTCTGCCGCAGGCCCGAGCTGGAACTAAAATGGCCTTTTACCGTAAACAGGGGCAGGGAAACCGAAGGAGATCAGTGGTGAACACCAGGCGCTGACGGAGTAGTGCGTGTCTGTGTGTGTGTGTGTGTGTGTGTGTGTGTGTGTGTGCGCGCGTGCGTCCGTACATCACTCTGGAGGCAAAGCTGAGTGAGAGCTGTGATAACTGGAGCCAGATGTTTGAGAGCCCCTGTGTGGTGATACTCGTTAAATTCCAAACCCCTGGTTGTGGCTGTCAGAAAGGTTAAACACTTCACCTGCAGAGAAGACAAAGTAATCCGCGAAGGCCGTCAACTGCTGTCCGGCCGGCGGTGTTGCCCATTGAGTCTTATACGTGTGTCATGCAGTTGAATCGTGAGCACTGCTGACGTCACAAATCCTGTTTAAAAAAATGTTTGTCGCTCACAATTTGTAGTAAAGCCGGCGCGTCTCTTGGGTGCTCGCTGCGAATATACAGGTTTTCTTTATGCGTGATTAGCATTGCGAAGGTTAGTGAATCAGCCATTTTCTTAATTTACATCAGACAGCATACAACTGAACAACAAACAGAAATACGTTTTTTATATTTTTAAATCAATCTGTGATGGTTTTTTTGTATTAAAACGGTATTGTTAATTGGTCTTTTTTTTTTTTGCCTCATGCTCATTCGCAGTAAAGCATAGTTTACTGCGAGTGCATAACTGTGCATAGAGTTTATGCACAGTTAATATGAGTATTATTCTGTACATGTGCATCACCTGAGTCAGTCTTAAAGTGAAACACAAAAGCTTAAACAGACTAGTAATGAAAGTGACTGCAGGTATTTACAAGTTGTCTACATCAAGCACAGACCGTCGAAAAACAAGACTCGCTGAATCTTCACCTGGCCGTAAATAAGCCCTGCAGGAAGTTAATAGGGGGGAACATGCGGGCGTAACACACATTGAGGATTGTCGACCAGATGTGTCCTCTACAGTTATTCATGGGTTGTTAGCGGACTAGTGCGCCGCCCCGGACACAATCAATATTACATAGATTCATCTTAGATGCGACACATGGATAATCTCAGTGGTGAAGTTTGAAGGATTTCAGCTCGTGCCAGACAGAGCTTACATGCTTTGTGTGCGCAGTGTAGGCTTGCAGGCACACACGTTTATGTGAGTCTGATTTTAGTGTTTTACTGCTGTTGGGAGCCTGTCTGTCATTAAATGAGTCAAATTATTACATGTATGCTGTCACACGATTCTTCCCCCAACAGCCTTGCGTGTTTGTCAACCTTTTATACAGTTATTTGTGCGTATCATTTTGTGGTTATATATTGGCATACCCCCCCTCTCTCACACACACACACACACATATACAAACAGCAGGCTGTATACTCTAGCTGTGCGTGCTGATTTAACAACAGGAAGGCCGCGTGTGCGCTGGGTTTTCTGTGGAGCAGTTGTTGACGGCAGCTCGTATTGAGTGGAGCTTCCTGCTGAAAGACACAGTGTTTACATCCCACTGGCAGGCCACAGGAGATCAATAGAAACCACTCGATGCTCATGCATACACATATAGTATCCGTTGCCCGCTATTATTCCCAGGGTGTATGCTCCTTATCGGGCAGACCCGCGTGCGCACTCAATGCATCAACAGTCACATTAACCATATGCCTATGGCTGTTTTTTTTTTGTTTCTAAAGAAAAATGAAGTAATGTAGTAATAGGAAGGTCTAAAGATGAAAAAACACAACCGGTTGTTGGCTGATAGACAGAAAGAAGGAAAAAGAGAAGATACAAACAGGCCTCCTTAGTGAATTTATATTATCGAAGTATTTCATGAAATTGTTGCCATGTACAGTATTATTTTGAAAAAAAAGGACAGTTGATTGTTGTTTTACATCTTTAATCGATTTGAAGACTATAAAGCTTTGATTAATCATTGAAAGTCAAGATGCTGAAGTCTTGTTTTATTTTTAGATCAGTTATGTTTTTGCATCACATACTGAAGCCACAATGCATCTCCTTCTGTTTTTAAAGCTGCAGTTTCGCCAAAAAGTGACATGTGCAACTGACCACACTGGTAGTCTTGTTCTTCTCGATATCAAACGCTCGGGAAGGAAGCATTACAATATTAATGGTGCCTGTGTTTGATGTGAGAGCACGCCGCGGTTGACTGTTCCCCCTCCTGTTGTGATGGTAGTTTGTTCTCCTAATGTTCTCCCAAGTAAAAGAGGCTTTCATCCTGGCAGGAGGGGAAACTCTTTTTACCTCCATTCCTTCATCTTGTAAGTGCTGCAGAGAGGCAACGCGTACATTTCCCCCCCAAGCTTTTAGATTTACATGTTGTCTTAACACGTCATTGCGTGATGTGGACTGTGTGTGCGCATCTGTGTGTGTGTGTGTGTGTGTGTGTGTGTTACGGCCTCCAGTATCTTCAAATGTATCAGAGTGTCAGGCTGTGGACCACACGGCTTGTCGGAGACAGACAGGATTTTCTACAAGGCAGCGGGCTTTTACAGTAGCGTGGGGAAATCTGTATATGGGTGTTTATGAATGGTGGCGTGGGGGAGAGGGGGGCGGGGGGGGGGGGGGTTGTGGTGACCATCAGCACCTGTTTGACGATCAACACGATGTTCTGGCGAAATATGAGCAGCAGAACATCTTGTAGTCACTGCGTCGCCTGCTGCCTGTGTGTAGAGAGGGAGTCTACTGAGACAGAGACAGACAGAGACAGAGAGAGACAGAGAGAGAGAGGGGGTCATAATGAGT